ACCGAAATTTTCAAATTATTAACAAAATTATTTCAGAAATAGAATTAATTAAACTGAATTCTAATAAATTCTATTCCTAAAGCATTTAAATGTGTTTCTTAGTTGTTATCAAATTCTTAAACAATAATTTAAATAAAAAATGTATGTAAATTTTGAAACAATGTATTTTACATTGCCTTTTATTGCGAAATCTAGTGTTTATAATAAATTCCCTAAAATAATTATGTATTTTCAAATTTGACTTAAAAGCCTCTTTTCTATTCTCTGAAACTTTTCTTAATGAACAACAACCTCCGAAATCATTAAAATGATCAGCTTTATGAATATTTGGGACTACCATATAAAATGACGAAATATTACTTGTGACATTAAAAAAACAGTTTTTTAGTAGAGCAAAACAGAAGCCAAACGATAACAGCATACAAATATACTTTTGATACTGACCCCCTAATTTATTTATTCCAATGCTCACAGAAATGTAGTGTCAATGAATTACCTCAAATACGCATTACAAATTGTTTTTCTTTTTTAAAAAACAATCCTTTTCTCAAAGAAAATGTTCCAAAATAAAATTAGTAGAAAGCAAACACCAGAAACAGTTGAATTAAAGTGCACAAACAGTTCACTTATTAAATTCTAACAATCCTACCTTTTAATCCAATTTGTCTATGTACATACTGGTCACAAACATATTCTGCCTCCCGAGTTTACTCTGGATCCAAACCCCATAACAAGCAATTATAGGAAGAGGGGCCCAAAATACAACCAATTGCTTAATTACAAGTACCACAATCTGAAAAAAATAGAGAATGTCCTAAGTCATGTTATAATACCGTAAAAAGTTGTATATAGTTGATAAATTAAGCCAAATCGAATGAAAATCCATGTACCTAAATACTCAACATTCTGGGGAGGTAATATAACACTACAAATAAATAAGTTTCAGAAAAAAACAATATGCATATCGTTAACAACAATATCTATTAATAAGATTTCAACAATTCCATAACAGAAATTCTTATTTAAGAATTAACCTTAATTTGCTATTACTTACGAAATAAATCAGAACAAACGGCCATTGCCGCCAACATTTCGTCTCCATAGATTATATAAATTTATAGATATAAAATATATGCTGTCAGCTGGTTCACCATCCAGACGCATAGCGTCTTTAAGCTATCTATGGTCTATGGTTTTGGTCATTAGCAATCATTAGTCAATTAAGTAAATCCAGATAATAGAAAAAGAAAACTGAGAATTTCGGTCGTGCACACGTATTATTAATACATATGAGATTTAATTTAACTTTTATTTGCAATAAATAATACAAATATAAATTCCGCTTACCATAATAACTCATTCTTCAAGAACAAATGACGCGTAATCAATTGGCGTCAATAATTAATTTACATAGCTTCAATAGTTCAGAGAAAATTATCACTAACAAAGAATAAATAATCCTACGGTCTGTTACGCAATGAGGAACTGTGCATTATTTTCGATAGCAGTTATCAAACACAAAAGGGAAACAAAATCACAGTATTACATACGCCTCAAATCGGATGCGCACTACCTTACTGCGCAGAGACTACCGAACATAGTATTATGACGCTCTTATGGCTCGCAATATAATTTGTATTCCTATCTCTACTCTGACCTTCCTCAATGCGCTCAAATGTATTGTTAAAATCATAAAATCGTTAAAATGAGGGATGTAAACTAGTTATTAAGTATTTACTTGCTTACTTCACACGTATTTATGATTCACGTCAGTGTTAGTGAAACTAAAAGCAACAGATTTTTTCAAATTACCACTTAAGTATCTACGTACTGCTTTAAACTTACATAATCGATGAAAGATTAAGTACACAAATACATGCAATATAAGTTACATTTAAATGTAGATATTCTTATGTTAATAACAACCGTAATATGTATGCACATGGAATATCTACTACCTCCATTTTAAGTAAAGAAAATGATCAATAATAATTATTTCTAGTATCAAAAATCTTTAATCACTAATAGATCATAAAATATCGAAGTAAATTTTATTAAAAAAACAGTACATACATACATATGTATATTTATGTGTTTTTTGTAATATAATTTATATTTTCCAAAACGAACATTCATTAATGACGAATGCGAAAATTATTAATTTTTTTTTAAATAAAAGTAAGTTACGCCGCTGTCAGCTGCTGTATCCCACATTTTAGCGATTTCTCTTTAACTCAACTTTCTATCCAAATTAATTAGTATGAACGTGAAGTTCAGTGAAAATTGTTTTAATATTTTAGTTACAGTAATACATCAGCATGACTCTTTATCACGAAATTATAAAAAACTCATATCTTATTATATTTGCCATGTTTCTTGGAGTCGTGGGAATTTTACTTTTTCTATTTTTCAAAAATTCTAAAAAATCTTGGCGATTTATATTTGAGGAACAAAAGTACGATATTTTTTATGGCATTATGGGTCTCTCCGCACTTCTGGACGATGCTATTTCCAGAAACAAGAACAAAGTGGGTAAGAAACTGGTTTTTATTAACATTTACCGAAATNCATTTGAGCCTTTACTCGAAAACTATTTATAACACTAAATTTTACATGAAATTTAGCTTAAAAAGTAAATATTTAACATTTAATATTTAACGCGTTTTAGAAATAAACATATTTGAAATTTGAAAATCACGTTTATTTTCTGTATTATGATTATGATTATATCTACTGGTTTATTAGTGTAATTAATTATTTTCGTTTTCCGTTTTTAGTTTGACTAGTCAATAGCAGCACATTGATCTTATTATCCTCCTACTTAAGGAGGGAATAATCCTGTGCCCCATTTGAATGATTGTACAGTTAATTGAGGTAAAATTTCACCATGAAAATTTCAGGATAATTGTTGATCAGCTCAGTATTTACAAAGATGTTTTTGTTTGAGATTATTAGGTGTATTTTGATTAAACAAAAATTTGTATTCTTAAATTTTAAACACACACGTTACATGATTTTTGCTTCTAATAAGCTCTAGCATAATTATATATTATGTCAAAAGGCTTTATCGTTTATCATACCTTACATAATATAGTATGCTGAATGTTTTTTTAATAATAGAAAATAGAGTAAGAAGGATAAGCTTAAAAATTACTGGTGAATATTTTCAACTTTTCTTACAAAAAGGTCTTAAGATTAAATAAATTAGATGTGGATGTTCCTCAGCAAATTAGGAAACTGCCAAAAAAAGGCAAAAATAATAAAACTTCTTAAAAAAATTGTATAATAATAAGCTATGCTTTTTTGCCTATTACAATAATTTGAAAACCTATTTTTTATTATATCTCTACTTATGTTTTTATTAAGACTTATTACCGAATATTTTAAACTGTTGTTTTTAAAAGTGGGTCTTAATTATTAAAAGAAAAGGAACTGCTACTGCTGACCGACTATGAGAATACTCTGTAGTACAGTGGGTTGCCTATATAAAGGACTGGTAATGAACAATTATCATACATATCTTTCCGGGAAGTTAAATGAGTGCGCTGTAGTCTGGTTAAAGATATAAATATGATACAGTGCGATTCGAAATTTGTAAACAACTAAATTTGTGGATTTTAATTAAATAATCTAAATTTTGTTTGACATATAAGCAGTTTCTGAAAGTAATTATGATTTTACAACACTTATTAGTGTTGACGTAAACGAATATTTCACTTTGTTTCGTATTTTTCTTTAATGTGAGCATTTTTATCTTGTGTCCTGTACATCACATTTTTTTATACGATTTCTGATGAAGATGTTTGTAGTTAAAAATGCGGACAAAAAACTGTTAGTTTTATTCGGGAAAATTATGATGAGAGTATAAAAATGAAATAAAGTAAAATAATATTCAAGGAGATAGATGTTGACAAATGTAATGTTACTCTTGTTTTTTAGTTTTGTATTATATATAGCTAGAGTTCCCAATATATGCAAGTAACAAAAAATCTTTAAAACATTACAGAACATTGTTGATTAACAACTTTTATTTCGTGTTATTTACTTAATACACTTAGTTAATTCATTTTTTATCCGTTTTTACAGATTATCTTATAAGCATGAAGTTAATTTTTATTCTACCCTGTCGTATCATTTTTCTTGGACTGTGGACATTGGCCTGCTGTTAACATCTTCATTTTGCAACATTATGCAATTAATCTTCGACGACTGAATGAGAGAGCACCTTGAAGTTGATTTGGATCCCAAATTGTCTGCAGTGGCATCATTCTTCGTGGATCTGCATTACTGTTTGCAGTTGTTGACTTTGGCACATTGTAGTTAATTAAGGTGAGAATATATAACATAATTAACATTACTTTCTCATTATTAATCTGTTACCACCCTATCTGTTTCAGATCGTCGGTGGAGAAGATATAGAAGACCCCGTAGTTAAAATACTTCTCTATTTTGCATGTTTTTTGCAGTTTATTTTATTTGAATTAATTTTTTTTGCATGCTGATTTTAGTTTATTTTTTTTTAATTAATTTTTGATTGTAGATATTGTTATTGTTTTTAGTTGTAGTCGTTATTAC